AAGCGTCGTCTTTTAAAACACGCTAAAAAATGGCCGCTTAAGTGAATTCGCGCTCGACAAATTTCAAATTTTCACCCGTTTTGAAAATCTTATCTCTCATTAACAAGCGTCGTCTTTTAAAACACGCTAAAAAAAGTCTACTTAAGTGAATTCGCGCTCGACAAATTTTCAGATTTTCCCCCGTCTCTGAAAACCTTATCTCTCCCTCCTTGAAACCCTTCTGCACTCTCTAAAACACCCTCATGAAACTCTCTACAAAATCATCAAAAAATCGATATCAATAAAGGAGTTGAGAGATCGAGGTCTTAGCAAATCCATTAGATATAGAGAGATGTTCCGTATTTGAGAATCAAAGCCGGTTGAAAGGTTTGATTTGAAAGTCACCTAATCTCTTAATACCCTTGTATATCTTGCTAGTGAATTCTGGATTAGTCTCTTTGTATTTTTGTTATGTTTTTTGCCTCCCTAATTTCATATTTTATCTCTCTTGATTTGTTTGATTTGGTTATCAGGAAATAGGGAGGAAGCTTGCAGATTTATAACTTTTTCTTTTGCAGGTTTTCTATGTGAATCGTATGTTTTTTTGTTGTTGAAAATTTGCAGGTTCTCGATGGTATTTTTTATGCTCATTTTACAAGTTTTCTATGGAAATATGGACCAATGGTAAAATTTCTCTTTCACCTAATTTTTTATGTTTATAATCTTAGCTTTTTCTTTTTTTCTCTCTTTGTCATTTTGATTTATTTACAGGGATGATGGAGGAGACTTCAGTTGTGCATCATTTGTATGTTTGGATGAGGAATGCTTGGATTAGGAGTACATAGGCCTTATTAGGAATTATGTTTATTGTAGAATAAAGATTGGTTAACTATGTAATAACTATTGAATCTTCAAGTTTTATGAAATAAACTATTTTTGATAAAGCATTATGGTTGGTTTTCTAATTAAAATCGTTGTATAGCATCATAGGAAATCAAAAAGCATTATTGTACGTAAAGATGACGTTTTTTTATAAAAACCGTCGTCTATTGTACTTAAAGATGACACATTTTATAAAAACCGTCCTCTATTGTATGTAAAGATGACGCTTTTTATAAAAACCGTCGTCTATTGTACGTAAAGATGACGCTTTTTTATAAAAACCGTCGTCTATTGTACATAAAGATGATGTTTTTTTTATTAAAACTGTCGTCTATTGTACATAAAGATGACGCTTTTTATAAAAAAAACTGTCGTCTATTGTACGTAAAGATGACGTTTTTTTATTAAAACCGTCATCTATTGTACGTAAAGATGACGCTTTTTATAAAAAAAAACCGTCGTCTATTATACTTAAAGATGACGCTTTTTATAAAAAAAAACGTCGTCTATTGTACGTAAAGATGATGCTTTTTATTAAAAAAAACCGTCGTCTATTGTACATAAAGATGACGTTTTTTTATAATAAAAAAAGGTCGTCTATTGTACGTAAAGATGACGTTTTTTTAATAAAAAAAGGTCGTCTATTGTATGTAAAGATGACGTCTTTATAAACAATCCACGACGGTTTTCATAAAAAAATCGTCATCTTTAAGTACAATCCATAACGGTTTTCATAAAAAAATCATCATCTTTAAGCACAATACACGACGGTTTTATTAAAAACAGTAGTCTTTCCTCCTATAATTAACGATATTTACCTCTAAACAACAACGATTTTATTTAAAAACCGTCGTCTTTACAGATAAACAACGACGGTGAAAAGCCGTCGTAGTTTGAAACCTAAATAGACGGCAGTTGATTTCACGACGGTTTGAAAACCGAATACACGACGGTGAATTCCCGTCGTCTTTAGCCTTTTTTGTAGTAGTGCTAACAACTATAAAATGGCTAATTTGATGGGTATATATGTTGTTTTGACCACAAGGCTTCTCCATAACACCTAAACGTTCATGTTTTGGTCGAAATTCACTCATTCTCTTGGCATTCTCTTTGAAGCCTCGTACTAACGAATGTATGTAACATTCTTTTCTAACGTGTATATATATATATATATATATATATATATATATATATATATATATATATAAGTAGATATTTTTAATCACTTAAGTTATAAGCCTCATACGATAAATGAGTGTTTGAGAATACAATTGAGTTAAGTATTCATAACATAAAATTGTAGAGTATGTAACAACTACCAAGAGTGAGCATTTGGAAAAGAGAGAAATTACAAGTTTTAGGTTTTTTTTTTGGACAAAATTAAATACAAGTTTACAATTGATATATAAGTCCCATTCCCAAACCCCCATATAGTCAAAGGTCTAGTACTACAACTAGTACTTGTATCCCTTAACAAACAAACTCTCAGAAGCCAATCCACCAGCACTTCCTCCACCGTACTTTCCAAGAGTGGCGTGTGAGTTAGCCTTGCACCTTGTCAAGAATGTCTCCTGAGCTTTCCCAACATTCTCCTTCTTCCCACCCCAAGTCTTGAGTGTGCTTGCTTGCAAAGCTCGCCCAAACGAGAACGAAAGAGTCCATGGCTTCAACACATCCAACTTGTTCATTGCATCCAGATTCAGCGTTGCCTCCTCCTCACTCTGTCCTCCGGACAGAAACACAATCCCAGGCACTGCTGCTGGGACTGTCCGGCGCAGTGCAGTCACTGTGTACTCAGCAATCACCTCGGGTGTAACCTGTGAAAAATTGAAGCCATTTAATTTGAAGCACAATTATGTTGTATTTGCCGGTTATATATAAATTTCCTCAGTTAACATGCAAGCAAAACCATTTTATATGGTGAGGCCTACATACATGTTCTCTATAAGAAGGAAAAAACTGTGTTACAACTCTATCTTACTTCAATGAGAAAATAATGTGTATTTGCTATACTTCATGGTATACTAACCTGGTGTTATGAATTCATTCAAATTATAACATGAATATAATTGATATTGTGTATTTAATACACCATATGATATATGAACATAGTGTTACGGATTCATTTAAATTGTAATGACTGCAATATCAATTGTGTTCGTGCTATAATTTGAGTGGATTCGATACACACTGTACTATTTCACATTCAACTTCTTACGTGTTAGTCATGTGAAATATATACAACGGTTGTAAATTTGTTTGTGAAAGAGATGGATTATGTGAATATGGAGGCAATAATTTAGAGCTATACATATTTGCATCCAATTACCTTTGGGCTGTCAGAGCCTGGTGTGACCATGTTGGGCTTAAGGAGTGTGCCTTCAAGAAGAACATGATGCTCATTGAGAGCCTTGTAAACTGCTGCAAGCACAGTTTCAGTGACAGCTGCATTTTTCTTGATGTCATGGTCCCCATCAGTCAAAATCTCTGGCTCAACAATTGGCACCAGTCCATTCTCCTGGCAGATGATTGCATAGCGAGCCAACCCCTGTGCATTCTGCTGAATAGATAATTCAGAGGGCTCAGTGGGTCCAATCTTGAGCACGGCGCGCCACTTGGCAAACCGTGCACCGGCCTTGTAGTACTGTGCGCACCTAGCTCCTAGAGAGTCAAAGCCCTGAGTTGTAGTTTCTCCATTTGTTCCGGCTAACTCAACGGTACCCTTGTCAACTTTGATACCTAGAACCAAGTATCAAATGTCGATGTCAAATAGAAACATAGATGTAGAAAAAAGTACATGAATATATCCGAAAAAATGTTATATCTGTTATCGAAATTTTAGACCATACCTGGAATGACATTGTTTTCCTGGAGGACTTCGACGAAGGGTTTGCCATCAGTGGTCTTCTGGTACAAGGTCTCCTCGAAGAGAATGACACCTGAGAGGTAGGTTAGGGCATTGGGGGAGGTGAAGAGAAGTTCACGGAGAGCTTGGCGGTTGGACTCGATGTTCTCAACATTGATGCTGGATAGACGCTTGCCAATGGTGCCTGTGCTCTCATCTGCTGCCAATATGCCCTTCCCTGGGGTGGCAATGTACTTGGCATTCTTTATAAGCTCCTCTGCACAAAACCAAAGGGTTGAGCTAGTCGAACTTCATACAAGTATAAAGAATGATTGCCTAATAAATTATATGCCTACATCTTTTCTTGTTAAGGAGATTGCTTGGCTTTTCTTAAATTTTCCGGGGTAATGACCTAAATCGGGTTTTGGAAGCGGTGTTATTCGTTACTCATTGTATCCACTAGATTAATAGCTAGTCGGTCATGCAAAGGCAGTTTTACATTAACCAACAATAACACTTTTAATTATGAAAATCATGTTGTGAGAGAGAGAGAGAGAGAGAGAGAGAGAGAGAGAACCAGCATATTTGCCAACAAAGGCTGACATGGTTGGAGATTTAGGATGGTATTGGATAACAGTGGACCAAAGTGCAAAATCAAACTTACACCGCAAACAATCTATATAGACAAGCTCCGGCGGAATATGCCAGCAGAATCCTCAGGGCATGGATTAACAACACGTGTCAAAAGGTTAGCCCGAGGAAAGTTATCATCCTAGGATAGAGCAACGAGTGATCACTCTCTTTGCCAAGTGGCAACTCAATCCTCAGGCAAAAATTTGTGTGGAAGGGCTAATGCTCCTCATCCAATTACTCTCAACTCATAGAGACGAACCAAACGAAACTTTTGGATTCTACTAAACAACTATGTGTGCCTCATCCCTTACAATTTTCTGTTTCTTTTCATCCTAGTACATAAATGGAAATCTATCCTAGTACATAAATGGAAATCTACGAAGAGTCGCTCTAATTTCACATGCGTCAACGATTCACAGGTGCCCAAGATACATTGTTTAAAACACATTACCACCAATGAAATTCCAAAATCTAATTTTTTTTCATCAAAGACTTGGATACGAGTGCATGCACATCCGTGCTCGTCACATGATTAGTTATTGTGAAGTGTGTATATGCTCATTGTATGCACGAACTTTTCAAAATTGAGGCTTCGTTCTTCCTATTCGACCACGTGAAACTTGCACATGGCAGCCAAAGAAGCAACATTTAAGTGAAACGCAGTCCAACTTGTGAAACAAAAAATATTGTCATAATGAGAGTAAATGTCCTGGTTCATAATACATATCATGGGGAGACAATTCATTTGCCAGTAAATTGCTTCCCTCTAAGCCATGCAAATGCAAATGCAAAGCAAGTTTCAAAGAGACTATCTAGTCACACTCACTGCCTGCTATGACAACTCGTCGTCCAACCCTTTATACGGTATCATCGAAATGCAAGAAACATCATTTGAGAAAGAAGAAAAACCCTATATGCCAATAATTGAAAAGAAAAATATGAAAGATTCGAAGGATGATTGTTCTAGATTTGATAAAGTCAAAATTTTTTCAACACTGAAATGTAGAACCCAGCACAACACTAGTCAAGCCAAGTTGAGCTGACTTTCCATCATTGCTGAAAATAACTCCAAATTGATAAGGGGTTGGACCAACTAGCAGTTTTTTTGGGAATTACACCGAAGGAGATACCACTTGTTGATCATCGTCATCAGTTCCAAAATATCGGTCCCCAAACTCACCCATTCCAGGTACGACACGAAAATCTTCATTGAGACCACTTTCAATCTCAGATGTCACAATCTTTATTCTGGGGAAGCGTTTGCAAACCATATGCACACCTTGAGGTGCCTGGCCAATTGATGCACAACATCAGTAGGAGTAACTCTCATGCAGTCATGATAAAAACGATAGTCCAAAACCGAACTAATAGTCAGGGGAACCTGAACCACATTACAGAGAAACGAACTTACAGATATGAGATTCAGAAATATAATGTTGGACTCTGGTACGCCCTTCTTTAAGAGTAGAGAAATAGCTTGAACAGCCGAATTCCCTGAAGAGAAAGGTATAATTGTTAGTAGTTTTACGACTGCCGATAATTCAACAAGATTTTGGAAGCTTATAATTAACTCTTCATATATTGTATAATAACAAAATAGTGACCGTTGTAAGCCAAATTGATACTAATAAGGTATACAAATAGCAAGATTAAAGATTGTGACTAGAACTTACTAATAAGGTATACTAATAGTCCAAAATCGATGCTGAAATAGTTTGTAGAGTATTACATGGGGACAAGTATACTAGAACTTCCCTTAGTAGAGAATAATAACCACCAACTAAAGCTGGTGGGACATCTTTACCCCAGAGAAATAAAAGCACTCTGGAATTTTCTTTTTTTGTTTCCTTTGGTCTGAGCCCTTGGACTCGAGCTTTACCAAAAACAACTTTTGACAAGTAGAACCAACAAGTCAAAAAACAATTAATATATTATCAGAAAAACAAACCTGTGCCCAGGATAGGATCCAACAGTAATACATGCCTCTCTGAAATGTCGTTGGGTAGTTTTTCATAAATCAGCTGTTCATCAATTAGATCAATAAGAAAACAATCGAGAAAAAACTGAAATACAGTCATGAAAATGCTTTCACATGAACCAACACAAGAGAGGGAGTGGGGCAGGAGGAGAGAGAGAGAGAGAGATGTGTGAACCTGCTGACCATTGTCCCCTTCTCTATGAATAAGAATCTTTCCAATCTTGATACCTTTACAACATGCTCGCAAAGCATTCTCCATGCTCTCGCCACTGGTAATAGTAGAATGTTAATCATACCATGAAAACTTATAGGAGTTCAATTCAAAAATCAAATCAAACTCAACAAAATACAACACTAGTAGGTGATGGTTACATGACCACATGGTTCATAAAGGCATAAGAGGTTGGGTTTCAGTTCAGATCTAATTACTACCTCTAAGTATCTATGATGATCATTTGTTTTATACACCAAGACCGCATCTGAGAGAATGTTTGGTCACTTGTAAAGAAAGCCGAATTAAAAAGGGTATAGTAGAATTTATAGTTCCTAGTCAGAAAAACCAAATGCCTTAAAGGAACACATTTGTACCTCCTAATGATAGATACGCCACATAACCTCTTACAGAAATCCACACCAATATACACAGACCCTGCATCCAGATCAAAGAAACGTTAAAGCAAAGCATCAACCAATGAAGTTTTGCAGACTTACCAACTATTGTAGAAAATTCAAAACAATACAAAGAAAATAATTATGCATGATGTGCTTGGTGTAAGCTTGCGACAAACTCACAAGAAATATATTTAAGAGTAAAAGGATGGGAACATGTATATCTGTTTTCCAAATAAATCAAAATCAAAGATGTGAAAACCATATATGTTAAGATGTCAAGATGAGCATCAGCTTACCAGTTGGAGTGATCACCTGCTTTTCAGTAAATGGTAGATGTCCCAGGCCATGTTCAACAACCTGTTAAAGATTAAGGACTCTTGATGAGTGATTTGAGTAAATAAGAATTGGTCCCATTCCACGAATGACCTTAAAAAACATCAAATTTGCATCTTGGCTCAAAGGACCAAATACCCACCAAACGAATCAACCTGTCAGAATAGAAAACAAAATCATGCTTTGTTGTTTGAGCATCGCGTATGAGGGTATGCATGCCCCGTATCTGCATTAGACCATGAACGATATTGGTGAGCCAAAAGAAGAAAAAAAAATGCAAAGAACAAAGATTGGAGCTTGAATGAAAATATTTAGGAAAGGCACCTGAAAGGTTGAGTGAATGACATATAAGTTTGGATATATTTTACAAAGGTCATGTTGACCAAGCTTAGTACGAATATGTTGTACAATCAAATCAACGGCTATGTGATTATCTCCACCACGAGGAATTATGATATCAGCATACTTCTTCGTTGGAAGAATAAAGTCATCAAAAGCAGGCTTAACAAAATTTGAGTACTGCATCAAAATGGTAAACATTATTAGAGAAAAGGCATATAGAAGATGCAGGTAGTAACCATTGTTGCCTAACCACAAGATCATGGAACAAAGGTAAGAATAGGTAATAGAAACAAAAGTGGAAATCCTCTAACACTTGAGTGAAATATTTCAAAGAATGGTTGAAGTACAATAGGGTAAATAATCAAGAGTATACCACCTATCTTCAATTCTTTAAACCTTGTCTACAAGAACACTGAATTCTAACAATTCTTTTTGCCAAGAAATAATAGTTGCATCCATTCATTTGTAGATTCACAGCATGAAATATAACCTGTATGTATAAGCTAGGCTAAAACCAACAAAAGTCTAACAACCATGAAATGAAAAGTTGCAAACCTGATCAAGAACAGTACCAATATCCCTTCCCTTTTCAACTGTATCACGCCTTATCCTCCTAGCCAACCGAACATCAGCATCTGCACTGAAAATTTTACAATGTGAAGTGGCCCAATTTAGTAACAATATGAAGTGACCCAATTTAGTAACAACATGAAGTTGCATATACCATTCTACTTATAAAAATAACTTACAACATAATTTATTCAGACCTGCACATATTTAACTACTAACATAAGTTAGAAAACTTCACATGAAAACGATATTATACAAAAAGTATACTAGAATATAAAAACAATGAAATTTATGTGTAGTAACAATTCAAAGAAGCTTTGATAACCCGCTAGAACATCTAAAGGCCAAAATAGGTAAAAGGAAAATTGACCTGTATCAACAAATATCTTCATATTCATCAACTCTCGAACACGTGGATCATGGAAAACAAGAATGCCTTCCAAAATAATGACATCTGAAGGGTTTACCTGTTAAATATAAAATATTACACTAGTAAGAATTTCTAATGCATAAGAGAGAGGCAACTACATAATATAGCATATGTGTTATGGTATAATTTTAGGAAACAAGCCCTTCACTACAATAGGACCTCAAAACAACAGGGAACTACATGTTAGATGATATGACTTATAGATCCCACAGATTTAAAATTTTACCCTTCTCGCTGGAAACACGCTATTTTTGTAACTTTTGAAATCATAATTTGGAATATCTACTGCTTGTCCATGCTTCAACTTATCCATCGAAGATAATAGTTTCTCAGTGTCGAATGCATCTGAGGATAACCAAAAACACAAAACTTTGAATCAAACATTTGAAAGATAGTCAGTATAAACTAAACCAACCAGCATGCATGAAAATGTACTTGTCAGAAAATAAATGGGAAAGAACTGAACAACAATGTGAAACGCACTAAACAAAAAGCTACATAAAACAAACTTGTGGAATTACACAATAACTGCACAGAGAAAACTAATAGCATGACATTACTACTCTCCGATTACCAGTTAGGATGTCTCAAATTGTAGTAACATGACATACTTTGAAGGGTTACAGGTACACATGGTTCAGTAAACTATAGTAATATTCTAAGTACTTATTGCTTCACTTATATAATGCTCTCACCAGGATGGTCAAAGTTGTATTCATGTACTCGTTTAAGTTCCTCCTCAGTCAGATTATGATAAAAAGAATCCTGTAATATCATCCATGATAAGATATTAATTTGGAAAAGTGGTGACATTCTGACACTCGAAAACAGGAAAACCAAATAATCCCAAAATCAAGGAAAAAAATAGGTAACTACTACTCTTCTTGATCACAAATTCTACACATTACCTGGTTAACAAGAACAACCCGCTGATCATGAAGCTGCTGTATAATCATATCACAAACTGTCGTCTTACCAGAAGCTGCCCCGCCAGCAACCCCTGTGACAATATGTATGGAATGATGGATCATATGGAAGTGGAAGAATCAAAACGCAGCTATCTAACCTTCTTAGAAACGATGCATGTAGCAAATCTATAAACCACTACTTACCAATAACAAAAGGCTGCTTATGCATGTTTTCATGTGCTGAGGTTGTCGGTTGCTCCACCTTCTGTCTTTGCTCTAAGCCATCCATATGAAATCCAGAAAAATGAACCCCTGAGGAGGCCTCTATCATATCCACAACTGAATTTGAACCCATGATCATAGACCTACGTGGAAACAGGGAAGGAAAATGTTGATAAGGTTATGAAAGACTGAATCAAACAAAGTTCATGATAGTATAAAACATCAAAACCATATAGCTAACTTAGTAAAATATGAACTTCTATCAGGTCCTTAGAGCAAATCAGCATTCAAACCCAACCTTGGAAGCAACAGTTAAATTGATTAACCCAAGATTGGTCAAGTTCACGTAGACCGTAGAGCTAGCTGGTAAAAGATACCTGGGCAGATTGGATTATTTTTCTTGCAATCCTTAAGTACTCTGAACTGAACTTATAGCTTCCTAAAGTCTCAAATGAACTTGTTTATAGCATAACATCCCTTGAAGAATTCATTGCAATGTATCATTCCAACAGACAAAAAGTAAAACGCTGACTAGTATGCAATTAAAGTTGTAAACTTTAAGACAGTACAACCACCAAACAAATAACTTTCCTTTTTTTTTTTTTTGGTCAAGAACAAATAAGTTACTTATGAAACCAAATATTGTTGGGAAATCTGATAGTAAAACGTATTTTCTATTGATCCAAAGTGTGTGTATTACATAATACAATTATAACTAGGCATTAGCTTACATTTTAAAAGAGCTAAGAAAGAAAGCTGAAATTACCGATCAAAGCAAACAACAATGATAAAAATACAATACGAAAGTCCCACGGATGTTCTTCGAATAAAGTCTAAAAACATAAATACTGATAAAAACCCAACAACACCGCATTCGTACCGACCACATACTACTTTGTGTTCCGCGTACCATTCACATTAAAAACAACAACAATCACGAAACCATTAGATTCCAGACCACGATGACATTGAAAAAGCGGATTCGATTGCATGGAATGACAATGACAGGAAAACAAGTAAGAAAACTCCAAACGTTCACTTCTTAATCATTTCACATTGGAACTTTCAATATGTATATGAAACATACACACAAACACACACGTACATGTATGCGCATACGCACACAGGTACACGTACACGTACACACAAACACAAAGCTTATCAAGCAAAAATGAAATTGAAGTAATCTCCTTGCAATGAAAGCATTGGAAACAGTAAGTTCTTGGCAATATCAATTCAGAGATCCAATGTGCATATTATATCACAAGAATCAAACTTTAATCATCCAAGCAACACTACCTAATCAAATCATCCAAATTTCACAAAAACAAAAACCAAAATTCGATGAATTCAGATTCAGTAGAAAAATCGACACATGAAAATCGACCAATGCAATACCTGATGAGCTCGAACCGAGAGAGAAAGAGAGAGAGAAAGAGAGAGAGATTCGAACGCAAGCTTTGGAAGAAATTACAGAGAGAGAATAATGAGGAGGCTGATCAGACCGATCCAATGGGTTTAAATAGTGGAGCCAGAGGTGAGGGAGACCTTGCACCGAAGCGGAAGTCGGATTAAATTACCATAATGGGCCTGGGTTTGGGAGATATCACGGTTGTGCCACCGTTTTCGCTGTGTTCTCTCTCTGATATTTTTGGTTCGTACGGTGCGCGCGCTTGGATCTGAACTCGAGATTGAGCTGTCCTGCCTGGTCCATCGTGGCACTGAATCATAAATGGGACCCACTTTTCTAAACGATGTCTATGAGGTGAGAGAGACTCTTGCGTATAGTACACAGTACGGTTTTTACGGTCTGAGGAGGCAAATAATTATATTAATTGCAAATACTAGGAACAATTTTATAAACTTTTTTTTCACATTTATTTGTCAAAAAAAATTAGTTTTTTTTTTTCTTTTATTTGACCATTCTTATTTCGTATAGTAAACAGTGCGGTTCTTAATTCGATTGTAAGCTAAACGAAATTAAAATAATTAATTAATTAAAAACAAAATTTGACTACTAGGCAGCTCAATATTTAGCTTCATGAACTGATTTGACACCACAATAATTAATTAACAGTTTGATGCCGTTAAGGACGTTCAAATAATCAAATCCCATTTAAATATACAATATTCAATTCATATCACATCTATTTTCGTAAATACTAACGCACTTTTAACTCAAAGTGTGCTTTTATTATTTTTCTCAAGACTTGACACGCATATTTGTGGAACATAATTATACTCATAGATATGCGTTAAGAAAGATGATGATTGTTTACCTTGAGTTAAAAGTGATAAACAAAAATTTTTATTTTTTATTTTTTTGTTTACAATTATCTACAATATTAAAGCAAGAAAAAAGTAACGCTCGTGCCATCACAACATGAAAACGAAATACACATATGCTTGGCAAGCAAGCACACCAATCGAATTCGTTTGTTTCAAGAAATGGAATCTTTTATTTTATCTTCAATGTCGATTCAAATGGTCATTTTCATTAATTAGCATTTCACTATTTATATTTGGTCGCATACTTCTCTTGTTTTTGTTGTATACTTTTTGTGCGGACATACAAGATTTTTCCAGGATATTTTTAGATCTTTTGCTTCTAATTGAACCTTTTGTACCCTCCTCCTCCTCCTCCTCCTCAAGGAGAAAACAACCAGCAATATCTTATATATCTCTGAGGAAATCTTAGTAGAAAAAGCTCTCCAATTTAGCTCTCCAAAACTTTTCGATATAAATCCTTTTTTTTTTTCTTTTTTTTTTTAGTTCACTACACATAAGCACTCAACGGAAATACGAATTTTTATGACAAAAAGAAAAACTTAAATAGGAATTTTTTTAAAATAAATCTTGCTCATGAGTAAGCATAAGGTTAGATGATAAAAAACACTTTACAATTCTTGCCAATTTCCCTCCATTTAACCTTTATCCATAGGGTGTGAGAGAGATTGATAGAGAGTTTTGTTTGCTGAAAAGAGATAGATATTAGATAGGGTTTTCATATACCTTTGTTCTCTTCTTCTTTTTAGCTCACTATAGCAATTACATTCTAAGGAGGAAAAAGACTCCAGAGGAGGAAAAGGACAACTAAACTTTATTTTTGTTCTAATTCGTCTATGTTGAGGACAACCAATAGTTATATTGAAGACAGTGTAAAGTATAACATATAACGATAGCAATCTCACACTTATCAACCAATGGTTATATTGAAGACAGTATTAATGTTGCTAATGATGGGCTGCGTATCCATCCCTTTGAAATATTAAAATTATTCATTAAGACCAACTAGTGCTTGGTTCTAAAAAGATACGGGGCTTACTTAGATTAGCAATTTTAAGTTTATTATTAATTTTCAGATTTATGATATTAAGAGTAAATATTAGCTAGGGTTGTCATTTGGTCGGTTTGAATCGGTAATGCGACTTAACAAAACAACAAAAAATTTCGGCATTTTTTGGTATCGGTACTTCACGATTTGGTAATAACTTCAATTTTTTTTTTTTAATATTACAATAAATTTGATTTTCAAAAAATTTTGTTTTATATTTTGTTGGGTTATATTCTTTTGGTTTATGACAACTAGTTCGCTAATGTTACGATTAAATAACTAGTTATGGCATGTTTACTAATCCGTAATTAGATTAGGAGGAATTGAATTGATGATGAATTAAATTGAGCAGGAGTTTGATTCAGGAAAATTAGATTACAGATTCTTAATAAAATTGTTTACTAAACTGTATGGATTGAGGAGAGTTAGTTTCCGGATTCCTTTTGAAATTGTTTATTAAATCATATGGAATTTGGGTATGAGAGTACTAATTACTAAAATGTCCTCGTTGTTTGATTAAAATAGATGACATATTTGAAAATTTGAAAATTGCGTGAGGATATAATGGGTAAAAAAAAATGAATTCCTAATAGATTAAAATACCATCTCCCACCCCCAAGAATTGAATTCCTTCAAAATCAGGAATTCAATTCCTAATTTTGTGTGAGCCCACTTACTTTTTAATTCCTTGATATGAAGTAAGCGCAAGAATCCTCCATATGTGGAATTCAATTCCTGATAAAAATTCCAATTCCTTATTAATGAACACACTATAAGTTTAATGTATTGTCTCTATGTTATCATTACAAGTTTGACACATTAACAACCTAGCTAATACAACAATTTATTTATTAATATACGAGTTTTCTTTTTATGCGAGAATAGTACGAGTTAGTAATATTCAGTCTAATATAATATTTGCATTACCATTAGTACACTAAAACTAATATCTACTTTTATTTTATGCATGTAATAGGGGTAAGATTTTATACAAATTTATAAATAAACTCAATCCTAGATATGTATTTATAAAAAAACCCAAACACTATTTAAACATAGAAACACACCCAAAATCAACAATTGTATATTTTTTGGGTGTGTTTATAAATGAGTTTTGAATGTGTGTAATGATGGGTTTTGAGTGTATTTATAAAGTGTTTTGGGTGTTGGATTTTTTTTATAATTTCAGCCCCCATTTTGGGTGTTTTAGTGAAACTCTCAAGATTTTATGTCCCCTATATTCCATTTGGTGATCAATAAGTTTCCTTTGTACCATCGAGGTTCTTTAAAAAAAAAAAAAAAAGTATAAAAATTGAAATATATCAAATTGTTAATAGTAATTTTAGAAGAATACAAGCGATATTAGAATGGGGGAGGAAACCGAACTTAAGGCCTTGGTACATAGATAAATACTTTATCAAACTCAATTATTGAACAGAAATGGCCTCTTAATTTGATATATACTGGCTGGATATGTAGAAAGGTATAGACAAAACTAAGGACGAAGTCTCGGATGAAAGGTCCAAATCTTCATCCTCGGATTGAAGTTGAACACCGCACCAATAGTATATTGATGAAGAAGGCTGCGTACAAACGAAAACAAAAACAAAATTTAGCTCAATTTTTCACGCATGGATCTCTTGATTGTATATGCAATGTGTTGATTTCGTTGGATGGATAATTTTACTTATTATTTTTTTCTCACTAAAAACAAATTTTTTTTTTTTTAAACCAAATAATTTGTGGATTTATAGATGATTAGATGTGGGATATATAGGTGATCAGAAGGTTGATTAATTAGCCCCGAAATTGCCTTTGTACTTTTCTAGAATGAGACTTTCGATTTTCCCACATCTATAATCCGATAATGGGTTTGGGGAAGAGAGAGTTACTTGGTGTACCTAACTAAATCCAGAAGATTCAAAACATAATTTATATGCACACCATTCAAACATTTGAAAAAAGAAAAAACAAATGTTCTAGAGATAACGCTTGGAAATTGTATCCCTATCCAGCCAGAGCTGTTGTCTTTTGTTTTATTTAGCGGTCGCTTTCATATATAATTAAGTATATGTTTTAACACAATATATATATATATATATATATTCTCTTATCCGTTCGTAGGTTATTATCTTGCGAATGTCATTATAAATAAGGAGGAAAGTATGAAGAAAATACTAAAAAATACACGACGTCCACACAGTAATAATATTTGGACTTCCACACGGAGAACAAGAACATGATGTTGTTCATTTGAGACCACATGCCATGATAAATTCATAACCACTTGGAGCCTAGTGGCTCTGAGTTTGTAATATGTATAAAGTATAATGTATGTGATCTGAAAAATCAACAATGTGCACATCAGTTAACATTTGTAATTTAGACTAAGATAAAAAATTAATACAATTATTAGATTAATATGAAAAGAGTTCGACTCTCACTCTCGCATATCGCAATTTCTATCACGTTGTCTTTCATCAATATATGTCGCTTTATAAAACCGTGGCCTCTACTATAAGGTGAGCAATAGGTCCCCTTCGTTGGCCAAAGCGTGTTGGCCACAGATAAGACATTGTTAGCTCATTATGATTAGACGAATTGTGGCTTTTGCCCCCGTTTTCTAGTGGTGACTTTATATCACCTTACCATTTTTCACCATTTGAACCCGCTGGCGCGGTTTGAACTCGTTAAACTTGGTAGATGGATGCATGGTGGGACATTCCAATCAGTGCATGGGATGACCCACAATCACGAATACATGAGCCACATTTCATGTGCATGATCTATCCATATTTATCCAACAACTTTAACCCATATCTTATGGTATTGGCACACTTACCAATTAGCATTTAAAAATGTGCCATAAACTCCAGAAAATTCTTTTGTTGGGTTGGGAACTTCGGACATATAAAGTAGGTGAAATTGCAATTGTCAGGATATATATATATATATAACTTTGCAACGACTCTTGCATGTGCCATGAACATATAGACTTGAAAATTCTAGGTACGGACATCTACCTTTGATTTGGGCCATAACAGCCAAGACCAATATGCTGGCTTTCCATATTGAAGATTGGCCTGAGAATTAACCTGGACCACTGGCTACGTTAGAAGAGTTGCAACCTTTTCCCGCATGGAAATGAAAAGGCAAAATACTTGCATTCTTCTATTGTAAGTAGGAACTCCTACATTTTAATAAATAACAGTTTGATACGTGTGTCGAACTTTTTGTGTGTGTG